AATTTGGTAAATCCATTTTAACTTCTATAGCTGATATCGACTCGTCGACAGTGTTATTCACCAAATAAGCTGCCTTACTAGAAGATGGCTTGCGAAGGGAATAATTCTCATCCCTGTCTACATCATCGCCAAATCTCTCATCTACACCGAGTTCTTCTTCCTCATCAACATCTTCATGCTCAGCTTTCACTGCCAGGGAAACTCCGTTGTCTATCTGATCATTACTGCCTTCGGTACGGTGGTGGTGGTGAGTATGATCCAATTCATCAGTGCCTTTCGGGGGCTCAGTCCAGCGCCATGTGAGAATACGGGAAACCCGAGCCTTTGGAGGCTTGCATCCACATCTAGGGCAAAGCCAGACACCTTCAGGGATCTGTGAAAGCGGAGGCAAGAGACAGCCCAGATGGTAGCTTGCCGGACAATTCTCACAGCAAATAAGGTCACCGCCATCCCGACATTCAGTGCAAAATTCCTGATGTTCATCTTTCTCTGGGGAGACTACGGGGTTGCAAGTGTTGCCGTTTCTATTGGCTGAAGTTAAGGAGGAAGTTGATGCGACATGAGTTATGGTTGTTCGGAGTTTACCTGACTTCGCACCACTAGCACTTCCAGTAATGCCCTCTTTTTCACAGTGCGGGCACGACCAGGCACCCTCAGGAGCTTCTTCCATTTCTGGATCCAGACAGACAAGGTGATATGCTCGAGGACACGTGTCACAGAGCATAATTTCGCCCCCCTGCAATACATAAATGAGCCATCAAAGTGCGGTTTTCATGAAATAGTAAGAAAAATAAGAAAAAATTATCACATTGGGGCCTACTTGCTGACAGACGTCACAGTAATCCTGATGATCAGTCTCATAGCCGTCCTCTTCACCTTTGTTGCCAGATTTCGCTCCAACGAGAGGAAAGCGAGCTGTCGTTTTTTGATGATGACCATGTACTATCCTAACATTATTAGTGCTCCCATCAGTAGATTCTCCGACAGCAGCAGAAGCGCGTCTAGCATTTCGTTGTGTTTTACGACGTTCTCGTTCCTCTTCTTGAGCGATGGCCGCTTCCTCAAGTTGCCGTTCAAAATCTTCATCACTAGTATCATTACCAGTAGCAGAAGGCCGATCCTAATAAAACGTAACTAGGGATGATATAAGGCAAAGACGAGCATAATTAACAAATCCGAATTCAAGCCTACGTCATTCTTTTTGCGGCCTCGTCTCTTTTTCTTTTTACTAATTTTTATTTTAATGGCGGGAGCTGGAACACTTTCAATAGCAGTAGGAGAAGAAGGCGGAGATTGACTAGCGGCTTCGCTACCACCACAAGCTGCACTGAGAGAAGTTTCTGAACCCGCAGCTACTGGAATAATTTTCTTACGTCCAGCCCCCTTTCGTTTTTTTTTATAGCCAGTAGGCTTGGCTTTAACAGAATCTTCCTCTAAGACATCAGGTTCCAACTCTTCTTCATCATCTTCCAGATCTAACACATTAAAATGATAAGATTTACCTTCTTCGGCTTTAGGAATATAAGGATTCATAATAGCAAATTCTTTCCATTTTGCGTTTAAAACCTTCTGGATATCATCTTTAGATGAAGAAGGATTCTTTTCAACAATGATTGGACGAACGTATTGGTCAAACAATTTTTGGATTG